AAAACTTTCAACAACAAAAAATTGAATTAAAAAATCTGGCAAAACTTTAATTTTGATGCTGCTAATCGGGTAGGTAAACTCCAGGTGAAAGTTCGTTCAATGTTGTTGGGTAAAATAAAATTGCATTTTTGGTAATGAAAATATGAATAAGTACTGAGAGTTTCCTTGACTTTATTACAGTAAATAAATCTGGTAGGTAGGTTCATGTTGGTTTTGCTTTTTGGCTCTTTAAAATTCATTGGATTTCTTACAAGTTTTGTTATTTTATTTTATTTCCTTTTGCAGCTATAGGAAATATACAAATTTCAGCTTTATATATTATTATTGAGTCAAAAACTGTTCAATTCGTAAAAATGTTTAGTTGGCTTACAAATATTTTCCTAATAAAGTCCAAAACTACTCAAAATCAGTGTATCTTAAAGCAATAAACTCTACAAAATATTACAATGCGAAATTTTAATGAAGTTTCCGTTTCAAATTTGATTTTGTATTATTCCTTGGCCCTGTAATTTATGTTCAATATTTTATTGGTTGCCATTTAATGTCGAAATGAATCCTTCCCATGACAAATTCTCTATTGTCCTGCTGCTAAAATCTCGTCAAGATGGCATTAGAATCCTATTAACTAGCCGCCGCAAATTCAAATATTTTTGGCCAGACAAGGTATGGCGCACTCTATACAAAATTAAGTCGAAGAACTGAGGGTAGCGACGGGACATTTGTTTGAGCAAATCAATTAGTCACAATGGCCCTCGGAGGCAGGACAATGGAGTCACTGTCTCTATATAGAAGTGTCCCTTTTAGCTGACTGGGGAATTTGTGGGACTGCTTCCTGGACATAAGGGCGTTAATTATCGGGCAGAAGAGAGACAGACGTTTAATGAATGCACCCGGGGCGATGTCGAGCTCACGTAATTTAAATTTGCTTAAGGAGATTGCGTGTGTTTTGTTTGGTGTTATGACTTTTTGCCGCTAGCTAGTCGCTTAGTTAGAGCACTGGATTGTCCCTCACCCTCACCCTCACGTCCACTTTCAGTTTCCGCTTCCTGTCTTGGCGATGTCGCATCCTTCGAGCAATTAATGGAGCGATGAGCACACACAGGAAGTCTGATTCGGAGTGCCAGTCATCGAGGGTGAGCCATAACTTCTGGACTTACACGAATCTTGGATTTAATTTGGCATTTCCACATCTGTTTTTTTCTTCTTGGTTTTTGTATTTTCGGGAGTAGATCCCAATTTTATATGGCCATAAAGTGCAGATTTTGGCATGCCCATCGAATGATTTTATATCACTTACGGGCAGCTGTCCATTATAAAATCGTTTATGGACCCTGACAATTGATTGATATATGGGCAGGAGGGGGATATATCTAAAGGGCTGGTCTGAATATCAACTAAAATCTAATGTCTTATTTAGAAATGTTCGCTCAGAGGAAATTCCCACATCTGCGCAGGCGCGAAAGTATTAGCTTTCACCAGACGAATTTCCATATGAATTAAAAAGGATTAGGGTAAGCCTTGGAAAGTATCGAATTTCCAGGCTGCCAATTAAACGGACTTTACTTAATTACAAAAGATAGTTTTGTCTTAAAGATGCAAACATAAAATGCATGATTGATGCGGTGACAGCCAGAAAAAAACATGTAAAAAACTAAAAGAAAATGTAAGAAAAAATCCCAGAAAACTTTCATTCAACCTTTGTCAAGCGAAAAGTTTTCCCCAGGGGAGTGGGAAAACTCAGCCGCAGCTGCCTAGGAAAACTCTGCGTTACTCATATGCAAATCAGTTTAACCGTCAGTTCATCATCCTCGTCCTGCGAATCCTGCAATTTGAGTAAGCGAGTGACATAATTCTCGACAGCGTGACCAACTTTGATTGATCTGCAGATCGGCAGAAACGAAAGCGAAAACGAAAGCAACATCCAAATGCGACAGGCATGACGAATCGGAAAACTGGTACAAGGATCGCTTTCTCCTTTGTAGTAGCTAGAATCTGCCTGCAGAAGTGTCAGAAATTCAGAAATCATTGGGATTGATCACTCGAGTCCTTAACATGATGTAGAGCGTGGCTTTTGCATAATTTAGTTTGGGTTTACAAGAGTCTTACAAGGGGATTTATGGGAAAGATAGTCAGCCGTATGGGAAAGTTGACAAGAACATCCTGGTCTATGGTTGTTGCAGAAGAGTTTAGATATTTGTACTCAAAAATGTTTCAAATAAATAATACAAAAAATAATATTAGCAGCAGTTACTTTCTATAGCGTTCTAATAGATCATATATTAGGATATATAATAATAGGTTTTACTAAAACGACGTTTTTATATACAAATTCCTTCAGATAAATAAGTTAAGTAGGTCATAAACCTTATTATTAGACAAAGGCCTTTCACCCAATACCCCAACTACTTTCTTCGCCATCGACCAGCACATTGACCCGGAAAAGCCGATCCGATCTGATCAGAGGATTATGCAAACATTTGCGGACAACTGTCATTAGTCAATGGTCCCATATTTGAACTCTGACCACAGAGCAGCGTTAAGTGGACAAAATGCCAGCAGAAAATGTAGAAAAATCACGGCGATTTCTCAGAGAAAACCGCAAGTTGAGACAACCCCTAGAAAGTAGAAAGCAGTCCTTAAGGGTAAGGGAAAAGGAAAGGTGAAAATTCGATACCTAGAGGAAGGCCTGCAATATGGTCCATAGAACTACCCGGGGGAAATATTTCGCAAGTCGCTTACCCAAAAATGGCATAAACAATCTCATTGTGCGCACTCGAACCAAATGATGTGTGAGATATCAATTGTCAAATCGACAATGGAAAGTGACAGATCGGTATCTGTAACGTTCGTAATAAAATTAGAAGTTTATTGATTTGTCCTGACACTTTGGCAGAGGATAGGCAGCCCGGGATGCTGAAGCAAACTCACGAATCTGGGACAGATTGATGTCTGCTCTCGCATTATCAATGGGAGTGTCCTTTCTCCACTCCCTTCGTCCTTTTACCCCTTGCTGAGGCTCCTGCTCCTACTGCTTCTCCTGCTGATGTCCTATAAAAATTATAAGCAATTACATAGAAAGAATTTCCGTTGGCTCGTCGTAAAGTATGCAATTTTATGAGCTCCGTAAATATTTTGATGGCCCAAAAAATTCGCTAAAAATATTAATTTCCGTATCTATTTTCCGCTGACTTTGGGCAATGTTTTCTTAATGTTTGGAGTCTGACTCGATTGACAAATGAATCCAGACTTCCTGCTGACCACGCCCTAATGCTGTTGATGCCACACTCACTTTCCGTTTCCACAGCTACCATGAGTTGCCGATTCTTTTAAAAACTCTTCCATGTTTGTACTAATTATTATTAATGTGTTTTCGAACCAAAATCAAAAAGGGAAAATGCCCAATGATTTGTGTGTTTGTGGGCTAGTTGCAGAAATGCGGGACAGTAGGTTATGGGAACAAACTGTTATGAGATTGCAATCCGCTAGAGATTAAATAACGATTTCATTTTAGACTTGGCAAGAAAGATATAAAACCAAGGTATATAACTTAAACATGTTTTGCTTGTAATAAAATGTATCTTTAATCTCTCTTTAAGTTCGCCATGTCATTTGAATGAGGATTTCAGCTCACACTTTTCTTTTTTCCCCTGAACCTTCTTTTGTGAATAAATCTAATTAGCATGAGCTTCGACAATGACTTCAAGCAACTGCCACATCACACATTGTCAAGTCAAGCTCTCGAGGAAATCCGTTTAATTTCCCCCAAGCCCCAAAACGGCAGTGACAAATTTTCTTGCCCAAAAGAGTAAAACAGAGAAAGTAAGTTTGAATAAAAGAAGAATAATAATTTATACAGAAGTTAGAAAAATAGTTTTTATGAAACCAACTATGAACTAAGTACAAGAATTTAGAATTTCATGATGTCTTTCATGTCTTAATAAGTACATGATCTTAGTTTTCTCTCAGTGCATAGCCCCTTTCAGCAGATTTGGAATGACTCTCCTTCCGACTTTGTGTGAAAGTGAAATCGACTCAATTGCGGGCGTGTTCTGTTAGTCTTGCGGTTGCCAGCGCCTCGTGCTCCTGGTTTTTTGGTCCTGTGCCCGCACAATTGGTTCAGGTACAAAGTACAGAAGATTGCCAAAAGGTGTTGGAAGATGCTTCCTATCCGCAGCATTGTGTTAGCCCGCTTGTGTATGCACAGGTGACATCCTACAGGTGAAATGGATCCTCTCGAGGGCAGAGAACTCGTGCCTGGGCGGGCGTCGTCTTTGTTCGGCCGCATAATGAAGGCAAAACGTTCTGAAATATGAATTGAATCTCCTCGAGTGCATTTAATATACATTACGTCCTTCTCGTCGACTCCACTTCCCGTCGCCGTTTTGCACTTTGCTAATATCCTGGCGCTCCTTTTGCCGACAAAGTTGCTAGTAGTTTGCCATCTTCTGCTGTTTGCCGAAAAATCTTGAAGTACGTGTATGTATGCGGGCCATACAATATCCGCTGAAACGTTTAAGTGAGATTAACAAGTGATGACTGATACCGACATTGGCAGAATCAGGATTCCACCCAGGACCTCGGGGCTGTGTGCTTTCTATTAAATTAAAAGTGGCAAGGAAAAAGCGGAGAAGGAACTGCTTGCCTCTGGCATAAAGTGCAGGCTTTATTGGGCCACCCGATTTTCGACTTAGGAAGCTGACTTCTTTGTCATGTCAATAAAAAAATACTAAATCGAGTGTCAAAGGTCCTATAAAATGATAAGAGAATTTTAAGAATTTCTTAAGTACAATTTGTGTGGATTTGTGATAATTTTAAGACATACTAATGTTAGTTTAAACTTAGGACATATTAAAAGTAAAAAAAGATTTCCTTTGCTAATAAATAAAACTAGTTCGTTCTAAAGAATCTCTACTCTACCTTGAGATTTTCATAATCCGAACTGATAAGATTTTTCTGAGTAAGTCTTCAGTATACTTTCTTACTCTGTGCGTGAAGCATGTTGATCTTCTTGGCGTGGATTTTATTAAACATTTTCAATCAATGCCAATCCGTCGGAATTACTGCCTATGGAGAGGTATTTTCCTGTCTAAACAAAGAGGACTTCCCTAGATACTATACGAGTATGCAAGGGATAATTGGAGAAACCGTAAGTTGTGATTTAGAAAGGCATAAGTAATAATATATAGATTTCTTTTTTATATATTTAATAAAAGGTGTACGAATTTATTTGGTGTAAGGGCAGGAAAATAAGTCACAAGGGAATGGAGCAATTGTATCTACAAAGGGGCTGTGGAAAACCCAATGGGCTTTTCTATAATATATACGGTGGTACTGAGGTACCACTAATTTCGAGACCTTGGATGGCATTTATTTATACTCCTAATGGACCTTGTCGCTGCGGTGGCACTCTTATCACAGAACGTAGGTATCCTATAAATTTAAAACTTATCTTATTTAAAATATCCCCGGATTTGTAGGCTATGTATTGACAGCTGCACATTGTTATGAGATGTGTCCTGGTAATAATAAGTAGGTCATATCTATATTGTTTTGAAATCCTCATTTAACTTTATCTTATTCATTAAAAGCTTAAGAGTTCGACTGGGCGAACACAACATTTTAACAACCGAAGATTGCTATTTAGGAGCGAGAAAAAAGGTCTGCTTCACCGCTGAGGACTATGAAATCGAATCAGTGTTTGTACATGAGGACTTTTCTTTTAGCGAACAGATAAACGATATTGCTCTGGTCAGACTGAAGCAAGTAGTACAGTATAAAGGTGAGTTTTACATTATATTATTGTATTATTTATATTATATTACTCTTTCGCAGAACATATTCTACCGATTTGCTTGCCGCTAAATAATGTCCTGGCCAGAATCTCTCCAATTACGAAAGTTCCATACTTAGCAGCTGGTTGGGGACTTAAAGATATTTATACAACATCAGATACTCTACGTGAAGTAACATTATTAAGTAAAAAATGTCCGAATTTGTATGGAGACCCCATTGAAAATGCGAAAGGCTGCACTAATGGAAATGAAAAGGATACTTGCAGGGGCGATTCTGGAGGCCCTTTAATTCGAGAAAGTGACTACTACGGCAGGAAGGTATATGTACAGTACGGAATAGTCAGTCATGGCAGTTCCTCAAGTTGTGGATCTGAAACGGCTTATTATACACAGGTCGCTTACTATATACCCTGGATAATCGAGAAGCTGGAGAAATTTCCCTCTTCATAATTAAATAAATTGAAAAGAATAAAAAATGCATTGGTTAACATAATTTCATATCATTATCTGGCCTTGGATTGTTTTCTTATTTCAAATGAACGAAAATTATCAGTCCTTTATTCTGTTTTTCTGGGAAACTTTGCATAACGATAAGGTGGTATCAACACCAATGATGACTTGAAAGGTCTTCAGTCTCTTTCGATCAGAGCTCCGATCATGAACAGTTTTCTTGTAATTTTTACCCTAGCTTGGGCGATCATCTACCTAATGGCTTCATCTGAAGCTGGGCCCAAAGATTGGACACCGGGAGAGCGAAGGGTTTACGACCAGTTGAGGCAAATGGAGTGCGGAGTCTTATCGAATCAAATACCTCTCCAAAAACTACGTCGAAGGATCACCGGCGGCAGAAGATCTTCGTTATTCTCCCAACCTTGGATGGCATTTATTTATATACCAAGTAACTTAAAGATGTGTCGATGTGGAGGCACCCTTATCTCCGAACGTATGTATATATATATATATATAGTGCAGAATCGAGTTTCCTGATTATTTCTTCATTTTAATAAGGTTTCATCTTAACTGCTGCACACTGCTTTAAAATGTGTCCACGATCTAGCGAGTGAGTTTTATAAAAATATGTCTTTCAAGATTAAAATGTGATCTTCAATCTTAAGCAGATTAAAAGTGCGACTGGGAGAACTTGACTTAGATACCTCACCTGATTGCACCACCTATGATTATCAAAGGGTTTGTGCCCCACCCGCTGAGGAATTGGGGATAGAAAGTTGGTCTATTCACGAGGAATTTGACCCAGTCTACCCTTGGTTTGATATTGCCCTGTTGAGACTAAATCGGAAAGTCGTCTTTAAAGGTATGAAGTCCACTACATCCTAGTGGTTTCTCTAAATACCCTGTTTTTTCAGTGCACATCCGACCCATTTGCCTTCCCCTAACTGACGAACTGCTAGCATTTACCTCGGTTATTGGAAATTCCTATATGGCGGTTGGTTGGGGAAGAATTGATAGTAGCCGCTTTGCCAATAGTACGATGGAGGTCTATATAAATACTGAGACATGCACTAATGGCTTGGACAGCTCGTTTCTCTGCGCCAATGGAGATTATGTGGACACCTGTGTGGGTGACTCGGGAGGACCTCTCACCTGGCAAACCTTTTATTTCGGCATTGCTCGTACGGTACAGTTTGGGGTGGTGAGCACTGGAAGCAGGAACTGTGGAGCGGGCGAGAAGGCCTACTACATGGATGTACCCACCTACATGCCGTGGATTATGGACAAGCTGTCAAGGTTTCCAAACTTATAAAAAAAATCTGTTAAAATTAAAACCAATAAGGAACAATATTACATATCATTTTATAATAAAGTAATATTTTCTTTCTGTATAATGATATTCCTTCGATAACCTTTGCTGTATTAATATAAACTTTAAGTTCAAATGAATCAATAATGCCAGTCGTTTAGTATGATCTTCTAGGAAACCATGCATTGCGATAAGTAAATACGTGCTATTACCAGCAAAAATGTCTTGAAGGGGTTCAGTCTTACTTGATCTGAGCTTCGATCATGAACAGTTTTCTCGTGCTTTTTACCCTGGTGTGGGGTATCATCTGCCTAATGGCTTCATCTGAAGCTGGGCCCAACAATTTGACACTAGCAGAGAAAAGGGTTTACGACAAGTTGAAGCAAATGCAGTGCGGAGTCATATCGAATCAAATACCTGGCCAAAAACTTCGTCGGAGGATCACCGGTGGCAGAAAATCGTATTTATTATCCCAACCTTGGATGGCATTAATCTATATACCGAGTGACTTAGATATGTGTCGCTGTGGAGGCACCCTTATCTCAGAACGTAAGTACATGTATGTAATATGAACTTATTATGATTATTAATCCATTTATAATAAGGTTTCATCTTAACTGCTGCACACTGCTTCAAAATGTGCCCCCAATCTAAGGAGTGAGTTATATTGAAGAATGTCTTTCATAAGAAATATATGATCTTGAATCTTGAGCAGATTAAAAGTGCGACTAGGAGATCTCGACTTACAAACCTCACCTGACTGCACTACCTACAATTATCAAAGGGTTTGTGCTCCACCCGCTGAGGAATTTGGAATAGAAAAGTGGTCCATTCACGAGGAATTTGACCCATTCTACCCTTTTTTTGATATAGCCCTGTTGAGACTAAACCGGAAAGTGGTCTTTAAAGGTAAGAAGTCTACTATATCAGAGTAGTTTCTCTTAATACCCTGTTTCTTCAGTGCACATCCGACCCATTTGCCTTCCCCTAACTGACGAACTGCTGGCATTTTCCTCGGTTATTGGAAATTCCTATATGGCGGTTGGTTGGGGAAAAGTAGATAGTCGCCGCTTTGCCAACAGCACGATGGAGGTGTATATAGACACTGAGACATGCACCGCTGGCTTGGACAGCTCGTTTCTCTGCGCCAATGGAAATTATGTGGACACTTGCGTGGGTGACTCAGGTGGACCGCTCACCTGGCAAAACTTTTATTTTGGTACTGCTCGAACGGTACAGTTTGGAGTGGTGAGCACAGGAAGCAGGAACTGTGGAGCTGGTAAGAAGGCGTACTACACGGATGTACCCACCTACATGCCGTGGATTATGGCCAAGCTATCAGAGTTCCCAAACATATAAACACATTCTGGTAAAATTTAAACCAATAAAGAACATTATTTCAAACTATGTTGTAATAAAATAATATTTTATTTCTGTATAATGATTTTTTCAAAAACCTTTTCTTGCACTAATGTTTAAAACTTTAGCTAACAATCTAGTAACTCCAGTTTTGTTTGACTATGAAATCTAGGTTTTTTTTAAGAACTTACTGAATCATTAGTCTCACTTTCAACATAGCACTGTGCTGATATATAACTACGACGTTTCCATTCGAAATGGCCCGCCAGATTGGAGTCATGTGTTTTGGCCACACGGATTCAGTAGTGGAGATATCCTTTAGCAAGGACTGTGGCTCGGGGTTTTATCTGGCCTCCGCAGGACTCGATGGGCAGTCGGTATTGCGACACGGTGATACTGGCAACTTTATTTGCTCCCAACGGAAACACGAGCAGGGCGTATGGAGCGTGTCCCTAAATGAGGATGCCAAGATCCTTGCCAGTGGCGGTGGCGATAGCAAAGCTCGTATATGGGATGCCATTCTGGGAAAGCAGCTTTTCAAGTATCGGCACCCTGACACAGTTTCTAGTGTTCACTTGAATGCCGAAGGCAGTCACTTGCTGACCGGTTGCCTTGGGGACGAACCCTCTGTCCGCCTTTACGACGTGGAAAACTCGAATAAGAGACCCCTACTGGAATTTCGTGGTCACCACCGCGGTGTGAGGGATGTGATCTTTTGTGTGAAGGAACACTGCATTCTCAGCTCTTCCTATGATCGCACAGTGAGGATGTGGGATTGCCGAACTGGTAAGAAGACCAATTCTATCGTTTTGCCCCACCACGCCAAATCCATAGAGTTAAACTACACTGGGGATATAGTGACCATATCCTATGGAAACGGTCTGATATTTTTGGACCCCAGGAATTTTGTGGTTCTTAAACATCGCAAATTACCCTACAAAGTGAGTTCGGCTACGTTGAACCCCAGTAACGATACCTATGTTTGTGGCAACAGTGAGGGTTATGCCTACCAGTATGACTTCAAAACGGACGTTAGAAGAAAGGACTTCTTCTTGTCTACCCAAAAATCTGGAGTGTGTTGCCTAAGGTTCAGTCCAGACGGCGAAATATGTGCGATTTCCAATATAAATGGAAATATCGTACTCTGGCGACAGAACATGAAAAAGAAGTACGGCCTATTTACTAGTACACGCTCCTCGGAAGACGATCAAGACGAAGAATACGAGTTTGGGGAGGAGTACGAATTTTCCAGTTAATACCCTGTACACAACTGTACCCAATTTTAATTCGTGTTCTCTTGGTTAATTTTTTTTTTTTTTTTGTTTTATGTTCGGTTGCGCCGCTCCCCATGATCGAAATCAGAAAAGGGTCGCGCTCTTTCTCTAATAAATTTGTCTTGTGATTGAAAACCCCAAAATGCCCGAACGATCTACCTGCCTTTTATGGCTATCTGGGACTATCTGACTCTGACATTTCCAACCTGTTTTGTGGATGATTTTTCGAAAGGATTTCAGTTATTTTCTACGTTGAACGATCGCCGACGCTGATTGCCTCGTTGCTTTATGGCATTTCTCACCCGATGCAGTCATAAATGCGTTTTATTATTATTATTTGAGTTTGGTCGCGGAGTCGGGAGGTCGGGGAGCAACGTCTCCTAATGCACCGAAAATGTATCCAACAAAAATGACTGAGATTTTTCTCCTTTTTACATTTTTTTGGGGGTAGTTTAGCGGCAGATAGCATATACAAATATAGAGAATATAGAGAAGGGCCAGGAGATACATCTCTGAGTGATCTGCTTTCCTGACCTCACCTAAGATACCTTTTTGGATTTGACAACTTCTTGACTCCATGCCTCTGTTTGTTTTTCTTTCTTTGGCTTCGTGTGCTCACTCTCCCCAAATGGTTTCCATAAATATTTATAATTTCTTCTGGCTGATAAAACGAGTTCCTCGCATCGCATGCTGAGCAGGCAACGTATTTTTCAAAAAACACGTTTTCCACGCGTTTACCAGGAAAAGGAAACATTTTCACACAACCTCCTTGACTGTTTGTCCACCGAGAGAGAGACTGTTCCAATAAAATGAGTTGTCATGCTACTTTCCTTCGTGGTCAGCACAAGTGCCTTACCTTTGATTGATGATTTCTAAGTGGAAAGTAGCACAGTAGCCGCAGGATCAGCAAAGGATTAGCCTCCACGGTAGCCAGTCTAAATATTTGCATACTTGCCCAACTATTTGCATTCCACTTTAAAGGGAAATCCATCAATAACTTTCCGATCTGACCGCAATTTGTCCGAGCAAACGATTTAAGATAAGTAAAAGTCATTTATAAATGTCCTGCGCAGAGATTTTGTAATATTAATGATTGGTCATTTGCCAGGGTAAAATGCTTGGTAACACTTGGAGTAGATCCCCTGACCAGTTTTTGTGTTTTGATAGGGATCACTACGATTATGGCTGAGAAATATAAATGATTTTCCTGCTCAGAAGGGTAGGAGTTTTAGTATAATTAATGTCTGGATCTTAACTCGAAAGATCATTCGTATTCTGAAATATTTATAGTAATATCTCTCTGTTTTGTTGCTTAACTATCTGGCCAAAGGATATTTTACTTATTACCTCCCCTCTAAAACTTATTATTTCTAAACGAAACACTCCCACAACAAGTTGGGCTGAACCCTTGAAATATCCTTAGTCGCGGCACACCTGCCTAGCAAAATTTCCAAAATTGCGGTCACAGTTCCGTGAGCTGAACAGTTTTTATGGTAATTTTCTTTACGGAGCCGAGAATATTTGAAAAATATCTTACGCAATTTCGAGCGTTACTTAGCTGGGTTGGTCATGCTCGCTGAACATTTGCACCCCCACCGGAACACGTGGCACATCGGCCCAGGTTCTTTACTATATGTTTCTATATAGAGTTGGAATATCTTGGGCCTCCTCCTGGGGTGAAATGGGCTGGCTTGATTGTGTGCAGTGCGTTGAGGCGATAAGAAGCCTTGCATTCAAAATGAGTGTAACGTATATTTTATACAAGACCAGACAGGACTGGACTTCGTTGAGGTTTTATTAGATACGAGATACGAGAGTGTTTTACAGACCGCGACCTTTGCCTAGGAAACGTTGATAATGTTTGCCTAGGTCTTATCGGGTGGATTGTGAAGTGCATATTAGAAAATAACCGATAAGATCCAATTTCGATCTGACCAGCATTTCAGACTCCAATCAAGCGAATACCTTGAGTATCATCTAATGCCCGCACGTTCCACGACAATCCTTTTAGGATCTGCCCTTATAAACGGGGACACTTGAGAACCGCTTTTCCACCTCTTTTATCCGCCTTTTTTCCGCGTGTGTTGACACAACCCATATAAAAACATATAGTTGCCAGGATATCCTGCTCGAAAGGAAATTACTTAAAGGGATCACGAACTCTTCCCCCTTTTCGACAACGAAAAACTCCTTCTTGAGTTGTTTATGTTTTCAGGCATGACTGCAACCGAACGCCAGTAGAATTCTCAAATTTGTTATAAAGTGTGTAAATTCACGTTGCTTTTCCTATTGTTTTTTTTTGAGAAGAGTAGGAGGGTGTGTCCCATCAACAGAAAGCCGAACCACAAGGGATCGGATCTTATGGGAGTGTAAAGGGAAAGAATTATGGATGGATGATGCTGCCTAATCGAACGGTCGTCAAACGATCTCTGCCTTTTTTGGGGTGATTGCACTCCGTTTTTTCTTGATTTTTCCTCGGGTTTTTGTGTGGAAAGCCAAGAGGTTTTTCTATTATTTCCTTGAGAGCAAAGGACAAAGCAAATGATGTCTTTAGTCTACGAATCTGACTTCCAAGGTTTTGTTCCTTTTCTTTCCTTTTTATTTAATTGGATTTGTGCAAACAATATAAATCTCATTTTATTGCTTTTGGTAGTGTAATTTAATTTTTTACGATTTTGCACATGAAAAGGGAAAAACTTTTCAAAAGTGCAGCATAAAATGAGCAGAAAACTTTTCTTATAAAAATTCAGACATAACGGAAATTTAAAATATTCAATTACTATGGCAACTCTAGAAGTAGATCTGAAATAGTCATTTGCTGCATGTGTTCATATGTTTACTGGACCAGTGCCCCACATTACAACCGCGATTTTCCCCTTGGCAACACGAGGAAAGTGAAAAGAATCGGTGCCCCAAATCGCCCCCTGCCACGCCCCTTCGACAGCTAAAAATCCAGTTTGAGGCCAAACAAACGAAGCCAAAACATTTTTTTATTTTTTGTATCTTCCCATCGCAATCGCAACCAAAAGTACAGCTCCACCGATGCAACAACAAACAAAAAGGCAACGAACACGCGGATGGAAAAGGAGGGAGATGGGTAGATAGAGTGTGATAGAGAAGATGATAGGGAGTGAGAGAGGGAGGGAGTTATACCGACGTTTTGATACGCTCTTTGAGAAAACTTAGCTTAACCTACTGTGGTGATTATTGCAATGCTAGAATAAATCGTTTTTCTTAAAAGACTAATACAAGCTTATTCCCCTAAAAAATAAATCTAGATATAAGCAAAAAATCTATTGAAACGTTTTATGTGTAGTTCACTTCTCTCCTCTTTAACTCATAATTCTAGTTTTTCATTTCGTTTATAATTAGTATTTCAGATAGTTGGTTTATATTATTAAATAAAAATATTAAGGAAGTGCATTAACCCTTCGACATTCTCAAGTCCAAACAAAAAGCGCATTCAAACCAAACCGTTGTGCTCTCCATCTACGATCTCTTTCGCACCCGCAGCCTTTCCGATCTTTTTGAATTCGAGGGTTGCTGAACAGAGAGCGCGGTTCGCTCTGCATTTTAGTTGGCAACGCCTCTGGTGGTTGTTTGACGTTTGCTTTTGCTCTGTGTTTTATTTATCATTTATTCGTTTTCCCGAGTTCGTCGAGAGAGGTTCGCTTCGATCGGTAGCGCTATATCTTAAAACCCAGTGCGCAGTGCGCTTAATACCCGAAAAAGTCAACAAACATCACTCTTACAACGACTGCAAGTTGTATAAATAAACATAACACTAATAGTGCTGCCACAGGGCATTCATCCAATAGAGAACTCCAAATACAGACACAAACGTTTAGTTTTGTGAGTGGAATTGCAGTGTAGTGTGCAAAGATCACCAAACCAAAAACCACAACCAAGTGCTATTAAACCAAGGCTTTTGTTTATAAATATCTTATAAACAATTGCAGTGTGAAATTTCACTTTTGAAGGCAACAAAACGCAAAAGAAGGTGCCACAAAACGCACACACAGAAGCACTCGCTGTCACACACACACACCGACACACGCTCTCGTGTGGAGACCGTGATTTGTATTTGTGTGGAGACTGCCGTTCTCTCGCTCTCTTTTGGGGCTGCCCGAAAACAAAGTTTTGGCGCCAAAAGTTTGACAGTTCGCTTTGGCGTGTGATTCGCAAACAAGTGGCGAGAAAACTGCGTCCCAAAACAGACTAGAAAAACATTAGAGAATCTTCGAAACAGATATACCCCACTATATCAACATGGTCAGTGCCCGAGTTCTAAATCCTGTGATGCTCAGTGAGTTCTGCAAGATGAGCAGCAGTCCGGCGGTGAGTCGCAATTTGCCTTGCGGTCGCCAGTTGAATCGCATCAAGCGTGACCTTTTCGGTAGCTCCAAATCCGCCGAGGGTACAGCCAACAAAACGTGAGTTTCTAAAATAACTTCGGTTTTTTAACAAAAAGCTAATAATATAATTATTATAGACCCTTCAATGCTGAACTGGAGCGCCATCAGGAATTGGCAACGCAAAAGTGGGGATTCGACTTCCGCGCCGGCTGCCCTTTGCCCGAGAAATCCTCCTTTATTTGGGAGCGAGTTAGCTTCCAGGAGTCAAGCTTCGCACCGGAGATGTACACCCTTACCCGGGCCGCCCACGTTCGTCCATCCACGGAGAGCAGCCCCAGCGATATGGACATTTTGGTCAACCAGCGCTCCGAACGCGAAAACTTTGGCTCCAGCCTAGTAAACTCCTCGATGGAGTCCAACACGGATAATGACTCCTGCTACGACTCCCAAGAGGAGTCGCTAACAACGCGATTCACCTCTTCCAACATGGCCAGTACCTCCTCTATAGTCCTGCGCAAACGACAGCCAAAAATCACAGGTGAGTTTTGCCCCGGGGGTTGATTATACACCATTATACAATATCTTGACCAGCGAAGCTTGACGGTTCCCATAGTTAGGCTTCATTGCACATCGGTAGACGTTACAAATTGGTTTCCCATAGCTTTTAGTTCTTGTCCTGTTTTAGTTTTGTTTATTTTTAGTTCTCAGAAGGAAATGCAGGGAGTTTCTAGCTAATCTTTAACTTAAATGAAACACTCGTTTGGGATTGAATAGGGAACTGCCTTAGGATAGGTATACAATTTAATGAAGTTGAATGGTCAATCCAAACCGCCAAGTAATTATGTTCACGTTAGTAAAATTCCAAATGGGGTTGTTCGATTGGTTTCCCTTATTGTTTAAGTCCACTCCTTCAGACTGTTCTGTTTATTTTCATTTCCCAGGGACCACGAACCTTAGAGTAGTGGGCGTTTCTCGTGGAACTTAAACCCAAATTATAGCAATTAGCAAATGCTTTGTGGGAGATTTATTTTAGTCCGAAAGGGTTAGTCAAAGCTGACTGCAGCTGTTTCAGCTCTTCATCTCCCAAACGATTCTGATCTGATCCATGGCTACGCGGGGGTTGGTTTCCAGAGCGATCGCATGCGGGCTGGCTGGCTGCATCTATAAATGCCAACAGCTGTGACTCCGCTTTGTCTATGGGCTGACCTCATTATAGAAAACGAAAGAGAGAGAGGTCTGGGGATCGGCTTTCAATGCACCACCATCCAGAGTCCGTGGCCTTATCAAACCTCCCTTTGATTGCTTTGTACTCGGCGTTTTTTTTTTATTATATATGCCACTCGCACATGCATGTGTAATTATAATCGTAAAAAGTGTCTGTTCGGGGCATTATAAATGCACCCGCATCGGGTGGCCAGTTGGGAAGCCCTTGAATCCCCTAAAGCCTCGACTCGCTTTACTTCAGATGTACTTTTTACTACTTTGGCCAGTAAGCTAGAGCGCTTAATTTATGCAGCTATGCAGCAGCAGCACCACCACTCTTGCTTTCACTGGACTACCTGAAAAACCGGCTGAAGACCGACTGTCTGGATGCCGTCTGGCATCCCCCTGTGTGGATGTGCAACCCTCTGTAGGGAACTGCTGCCAGCCACGTGCCACAATCTGAAAATCTACCCGAATCCGAAATCAAAATGTGCAAAAACAGGCGGCGCCTGCTGTTTAGGGATCAATGACTTGTAAACAGGGACAACCGGAAATGCAGCAGCTGACTTTGATTTGGCAATAACACGTATCACGTAATAATAATTAAAAATTTCTCTCTTCTGTTTGCAGAATTCATGAAGGAACGCAAGCGTCTGGCTCAGGCACCCAAGAAACTATCGCCCGCAAAGCGCCTGCGCACCAGCTCTCCCAGTTCATCTGCCAGTTCCAGCTCCAGCGGAGGATTCGGCTTGGGGACGCATTTTGGTGCGATGTTGAAGCGCCCGCGCCACAATTAAAGGCGCCTGATTCGATGGCTAACCCACCGAATCGCAATTTGTAATTTTATATATAATTTTTTATAAGCCACTGCGATTGAGTAGTATTTCCTAATTTTTTTATTACGAACCTTTTTTATGCAGTGCAAGGGCGACAGTTGCGAATATTAATCGTTAGTCTTCAACTACTCGTAACCAGTAATTAGTTGTAAGCCAACCAGTAAGCTCGAGCTACATGAAACTTTTTAGATTTCTCTAGTGAGAAATGCCATAAACTAAGTGATTAGTTCTTAACAACAACCAACAACTATTGAACTAGAAGAGAGAGAGACCGCAAGCTAAATGGAATTAGTCTTAACTATCTTGAAGCCAACCGAAATTTAACCTTTATAACGATGGAATACTAACTTTACATAACTTTGTAAAATCCTAGCAAATTTCTCCGGCAACTTTTGCATTTGAAATTTGCCGGGTGAACAAAACTCATTCCTGTCCTCTGCCCTCCAACAGTTTACTCTGAAAGCTGAAACTCAGAGCAGAGCAGAATTGAATTTTGTCTTGCACTTTGGGGTCGCTAAAACGAAGCCTCAATAAGCCGGTTTTTGGCTCATTGCTGCCTTGTTTTTTCGACCTACTAACATTGTAACCAATTCGACCAGTGGAAAAACAAACAAAAAATTGGAATGTCTTTGAATTATTTTCGTCAATTTCTGCACGTTTGGATGCCATGATTATTTGCGCGGCCGCCGAATGCACACAAAATTGTCGCGCTCTCATTTCTTAACCCTAACCAGTGGTAAAAATGTCTTTTATGATTTGCTATGATCTCTGGGCAAATTATGAAAACAATTTTGCCTAAAACTATCATGTACAAAAACTAGATTACTATATTATACACATAGGCAGAGCCTATCCTTCATAATAACATACAAAGCATATATTTGTAAGGCCTAACTAAGAACAAAATCCAAAGTATTCTCCTAATATTTATATGTATAGATATTCTATGTTTAATTATATCATACGCAACACTCATACTTCAATAAACAAAACACAAAACACAAAACAACACCGAATGTTCTCTTTACAAAATACAAAATACAAAACACAAAAAATACCCAAAACCATCTGCATAAAATCATTTACATGTTTGTTTGTTATTAATTGACTCTAATCCTATCCATCGCTTTGGTTGTAGCCGTAGATTATTAAACAAATTTTGTACATTTTATAAGTTAATATTTGTTTTTCTGCAATAAATTGTTTTTGATTTTCTAGTTGGTAGTAAACATCGTGGTTTTTGTTTATTTTTATCAATGTAATTAAGAGATTATGGTGATTCGAAACCCAAATCAACGGAAAGCAATTGCATTTTCACTTTTATTCAATAATTTAATTTGATTTATTGCTTACATCAAGTTTATAAATATTAATTTGTTTGATTCGACGCTTTGTAGTTTTACCTATGTTCCATTTAGTTGATCTGTTCCCTACATACAAATATATATATATATATATCGGATATATACAGTGGACTCCTCTGAACTGGTCACCTACTTCCCCGCCGCCTTTTCCTCTAATTGGGCTTGAATGTGCCGAACGTTGTGGCCTCCACCATTGTGATTGTGCCGTTGGAAGAAGGCATTGATTGAGCTCATGGAACGGTACTCCAGATTGTCGCTGACATGCCAGTCCACGCTGATGCTCTGGTGACGACCCACCGGATTGCGGATGCGAGTCTCATTGTACTTCTCTAGCAGATGTAGCAGACAGTCCTTGGTGGTGTTAGCCGCCTCCTCCAGATTCACGGTTTGATGGGTGTCCGGCAGTCCCACAGGCACATCTCGACTCATCTGATTTATCCGGAATTTGGCACGGCGACTGCTGGCTGATTCGCTACTGGCGCTGGTAGAGATTGGGTTGCTGACGCTGTAGGGCAATTGGTTGCTGGTGCTGGAGGTGACTTGATTGCTGGAGCTTGTCGACGTGCTGCTGCTGGTGCTGCTGGAGAACACCTTCGAAGAGGTGGTGCTGGTTTTTTGTACATGCTGGCTGGTGATGCTCTTGGCATTGGAACTGCTCATGGTATGCACCGTGGACTTGCGCTGGGATTGCAAAAGCGACTTGCTTGTGGAACTGTTGCCATTGCTTAACTTGGGTGTCTCCTCGATAGACTGCTGTAATCTTACAGAGAGTGAACTGATCTTGGTCTTGCCCTGACCATCATCATAGCTGCTTTGGCTCTGAGAACTACTGCTAGCCTGGCTGAGCAATCCTCCTTTCGCAGTGGGCCGATTCCAGCTGCTGCTAGATGTGGTTTTGCTGGTCCACCTATTCCCTTCCTGACTGATCTCAGAGGTTTTGGTAGAAGTGCTACCAGAAGGAGCCACAGAAATGGAAGGAGCAGCAGGAGCTGGAGGATTAGGAGCTGCTCCACTACTACTACTACCGTTGTTGTTATTGGCATCCCCCAACTTGGTGTTGATCTCGGCCAGCATGAGCAGGTGATCGGATAGCTTCCGTATCTCATCCGCCAGATTAACACGTTCCCCGGAACTTCGACGACCCAGAAGGTAGGTGGTATCCGAGTTCCTACGATCAAAAGTGTGCAGGTAGCTCTTCATACTCCTCTGCTGCTGGGCGGTGGATTGGCTCCCGGAGAACTCATCGAAGTTCTCATTAAATAGGTGTTGCGGGGTGGGTGTAGCCGGACTGGAGGTGGTCACTGTTGGGAATAGTTTCTCCTTGGATTCATTTATTGGCGTGGCCACCGAATGTGGACTCTCGTTGTCCACACTGCGGGCTTCCTCTTCTTCATGCAGGTTGTCATCCTCACCTTGCTCGTCATCCGTCATAGTAGCAATCGATTCGCATGGCGAAGGTGAACAAACTGTAAATGGATCAGAGTCTTAGAAGGTATTTCTGGAAGATCTGTTACATAGAGGTTGTGGGGTTATTGCCAAAAGTAGTTTACAGACGGGTTAGAGTACATGAAATGGTTATATACACATATAGATCATGCTTATGAGTTCAGAGAGTTGTGTAAAATGGCTCTTATGAACTTTAAAAGGATTATTTTCTACAGAAAAGAAGCTATGTAAGTATTATTTAATACAAAAATTTAGCTTAAGAGCGGATTTATAAATGAACTATTTTTTTATTGCCAAAGAATAATATCTACAATTTTTTACACAAATCTATAAATTTTTTTACATTTCCCTTTTAATAACTTGAATTCTAAAGTAAGTAAGATCTTTGATTTCAAAGGGGCATTACAAGTTAAGAATGTTCCTAGGATTTATTATTGACTCGTAAAATTCTTAAAGTTTAATAGCAGATAAAAACTTTCTCCCTGACGGACATATCACAAATGAACATGAGACTGACTTTGGAATTTGACTGCGATCTCTGAGGATGATTTGTATTCTGAGCTGGATGTTGGGCTTACCTGGCTGGCAGACCAGAAACTGTGGCTATACGAGTACATATGTGTGTCGATCTAAACTTGAATTGGGAATGGGGATATATCTTTGGGGGATTTGGATATGGAATTGGGATTCGGGTAGATTGGTTTCTCATTTTGAAGAAACTACAGAGAAGTATCATTGTGCTAGAGTTTGAATTATAGTTTGGATATATTTTTTTCAGTAGTTGTTTTACTTTTTGTCAATGGCTGTCATTATCACAGTGTCAAAGTGGTTAATAGAACTGGTCATCCGCTACAAGGATGCCAGTCAGATATTGCTTAATCCTAGGGTTACTTAAACATAAACAACAGTTCTGGCTGGCAAGCTGGTCCTCCCTCATCCGGAAATATTTAGGATTTGATATTGACTAAGGAGATGGGGTTAACACAGTGAGACAGAGACAGAAAAAAGAAATAGAGACAGAGAGGGAGCTAGCCAGCTTGGTCCACATTCAAGTTAAGAACAACAATTAGTTTGACAAGTTAATCGTGTAATATACAGAGTTGATCCGGTTGCAGGATGCAGTTGGAGATGCGATGCGGATGCCTCATTTGCCGTGGATGAGGGCGTGACGGTCGCGTTGTCGCTGGGATCCGTACTCACCTCTAGAGGAGGAGAGGCTGTCCTGGGTCCTCCGGGGATGCGGGTAGCTCGTCTCGCTCAACGGTGCAATCACATTGCCTTCGACGTCGAACACGTACGGACTGTTCGGATGCGTCTCCCAGCGCACGATAAAGTTCTTTAGATTGTCCTTCGTGGCATCCAGCTCTTTGTCCTGCAAAAGGATAGCGATGCCAAGAGTACAATAAATATTCAATGGTTTAAAAAATATATCTACTAGTAGGATAGGCTTTATCTATAAAGATCTATGATCTATTTTAAGCAAAACCCCTTTATGTTTGGATACCAAATGTCTTTAAGCCTACGTAAATCTCTAGGAACTCGACACCCAGTCAGTTGTTTGTTTGTCTATCAGCTTCTCTGGCCCAATTACTCACCTCTAGTTCAGCGGCGCTGCAGAGCTTGGCCAGCTCCTCGTCCTGCTTGCTATCCTCCTGCTTGGACTGCTCCACTTCTACCTCCTCGTCTTCTTCGTCCTCGATGGTTTCCGTGGAGTCCTCGGAGGATTCCGAGGGAGCCGTCACCGGAGACACAGACTTCAGGCGCGACTTGGACGCCACGGTGGGCGACTTTGTGATGGGCGTGGCTGTGGCTGCGGTAGCCGGCCGCTGCTGAAGCCATTTGTGTTTCATGCACTCGGCGGCTGTCATCCGGGTACTAACGGGGGAAATGGAAATCCGGTGACGGGTTAGCAACCAGACTCTAATTAGGGGGAGAATCAAGACAAGACCCACCTCAGGTCCTTTGCCAGCAGCTTGGCTATGAAATCCAGACACTCGGGGGATATGCCATTAAAGCATTCATCCTCGAAATCGTATTTTGCAATGGTTACATTTGACATTGTTTCAATGTCGTTCTCGCCCATGAAAGGCGACAGTCCTGAGATGCTGTGTTTCCAACCGCATCATATGGGATTGTGGATATGACAGGGTGTGGATGTGTATCCGAGGTGTGGGAGAGTCAATAAACATGGAATGTAAAAGCAGCATAAGAAGAATAAATAAAAACACAAAAACCAACACTTAATTAACTAAATTAAATTCGCCAAGGAGTGAGCGAAGATACAACCGCCGCCGCCCCATTTGATTATCACATTTTTAGCTGGTACACATTTTTAATTGGTTTTCTCCCAAGCACCAACCCTTAAGATATGAGTGCGGGTCTTGATTAAATTTCTAATTGCTCGGGCCACAACATAAATGGTTCGAAAATATTGCCTTGGTTAAAATCAACATCTTTGAGGGTATTGGGTTATAATGTGTTGAATTCATGATAAGGATATTTTTAAATTATTTGATTCTCAACTTATTTTTAAAGGTGTTTCGATATATATTTAATAAAACTTACAGCACGTAGCATATAACACCGACACTCCACATATCAGTTCCATAGGATATGCAGTCAAAGTTAACAACTTCTGGCGCCACAAACTCTGGTGTGCCGAAGAGAACCTAAAGATATATTAAATTATAAATAAAAAATATAAATTTAAATAACATTTTTATTAAAGAGATGCTCACCCTAAGACGCTTATCTGGATCAAATTTACGTGCTAGTCCAAAGTCAATGATCTTAATGCGATTGCCCTTCTGCGTGAGTACCAGAATATTTTCGGGCTTCAGATCCAGATGGACTATGCCATTGCCATGGATGAAAGCCATGGCCTCACACACCTGGCGAATGAAGACACGGCAGACCCTTTCGGTAAGAACAAATTCATCGTCCACCACGCGATCGAAAAGCTCGCCACCTTCAATGCTGTGAAAATGAAAATATTCATTAAATTTTAAAACAGAAAAATGCAGGAAATTACAAAGCATAAACTTCAATAAAACACAAAACAAATCATGCAAACCAAGCACCAAACACAGAGTTATCGCCTTTCAATTAGTCTCTCCTCCTCGTTAACCATAGGTTTTAGCTTCGTTTTTTAGTTACCTTACCTGACCACCCACTCTAAACTAGTTATGTTATTTACAAGAGTATAGATTGCTCTGCCAGGACACGAAAATCAGATAATCCATGAACATCCATCCGCTCAAGTGACGGGCATCAACTAACATATAGCATACCGATTGGACTGGGAGTTGGAATTGGCGGGAATTATGTTCGGACATCTCATCCGAGATTTTCCTCAGGTGTCGACAATGCAATATATAAATCCCACCAATCCCTTCCACCATCAGTTGCTCTTGGAAAATGTTGACAAAAAATAGGAGAAAACCCGCAGTGAATTAGTTTTTCCCTGCTTTTTTTTTTTGATTGCTAGTTGATGCACTTCACCCCGAAATTGAGTAAATTAAAATTGCATGTGCATTTCATGTTTGAAATGGAATATTGTTATCCTGCTGGTGGACAATATCTGACTACTACGTATTTAACATAGTCAGAAATTGCTTGCTATGATTATCCAATTTGAGTTGGACGTTCTAATTGTTCTAATAGGAAAATATTCTAATTCTATGGAAAATATATCAATAACTTTGTAAAATTTTAAATTATTAATACCAAATCTTAACAAACGCAATTTAAAGTAATTTGTTTGTAAAAAATGTTTGTGACTTTAACCAATCCAATTGGCATTAATCAAAGAAAATATTGTGTTACGATCTAGTGCTCTTCTCTAGTTGGAAAACGACATTGCCGAAAATGTTGCATTCCCTAGTTGCCTATAACAATCCATTATCCAAATGAGATTCACTTTAAACAGCATTTCATTAAAATATGTGTCCGGTGAAAGGACCAACCGGCAAATCCTCTCAATTAAGAAAATCCAATGAAGCTTTCATCCCAAAGAGTTTCGTTTTGCCTGCCATGTGGAAAACAATTGCCGAAAATGCTTAAATATTTATGACGAAATGATGGCTGGATGCCATTTAAATCCTGTTAAAATACTACCACTTTGTTTGAGTTTGACATTTCCGTTTACTCCCTTTTGAAAGTGGCTTTTCCTCGATGAAAACTTAATAGTTGAAAAGCAGGATGGTTAAACAATTTTCCTTCCTTGCAGCTCATCTCAGTGCAAAAGTGCATGGAGGAATTTTGTTCTTTGGAAAATATGTTGGCCATAGTTGAACATTCTGTTATGAATATGCCAAGGAGAACTATGCCAGTCAACAATTAACTTTTCTTGGGTAGGAAAGCCAAAAACAAGAACAACAAGAGGGGGGTCTAGAACAACAGCACAAGTTGTCCAAACTGCAGTTTCCTTGTTTTGTTGAAAATTAATTTAAGTTGACAAAGTCTTTTGGGGGGCTTTGTCTTGGGGTCTATGAAAACGAAATTGTTGTCATGTTCCTTTTTTATTGTCCCACTGGGCGGACCAGAATGTGGGTCAAGGCCGTTGACTAATCAGTGGGCCAAAACACCTGCCTCTATCGTTTTTATGGGCCATTAGACCCTTAACCCATGCCAGCATTCATTTGCGAACAAAAGAGGCTGCGAAAAACTTTTGCGTGGCAAATAAAACTTGCTGTAAATTTTTATAAGTGTGCGAAGGGAGGGGGAAAACCTGTTGCTTAAGGTTTTTCTTTCCTTCTGACTTTGTGTGAGTGTGTTCTTTGTGTGTTTGGGTGTGGCAGAAAAGTTTACTAGTTTACGATAATGTGCGTACGTGTAAATCGCATTTTATGCACATTCCCACTGATTGCAAGATATTGTGTCCCCAGCAACAATGTGGCAAACAACAAAGGGGACAACAAACTTAACGGATAGTGGAATAGAGGGCTATAAATGTATTTATTAGGGTGAACCGGATTTGGAGACCAAAAAGTTATTAATGAAGGATTGAATTGATAAATATTGTAAATTTGTTATAGTAAACATCATGTTCTTTAATATAAATACAATCTAAGATCTGTATCTATAACTTTTGTGTCACCAAAAACCACCCACCCTAATATATATCTAAACAAGTATATATATAGAGAGAAATATAGAAAGGGAGTCACACCCACGAGACAGGGACAAGCAAAATCAACACATTCATTTGTATGGGCTTTGCGGCTCTTGATATCTTCCTTACAGTTCCAGGACGACGCACATCATTTTCTGATATTCGTATGCCGCGTACAATTGTATAATGAGGTGATGCTGCAATGAATTCATAATCTCCACCTCCCGCTCCACATTCCGCTTGTCCTCGCGCTTTGGTATCGGCACGAACTTGGCCGCCAGCTGCAGGCCATTCGTCTTGTCCTTGCACTTGTATACCGTACCGAATTTTCCCCTGTTTTGTGGGTTAAAATATTGATTAAATGTTGATTCCATACAAACGGGAATTATGGCGATCAATGTCGCAGGATTTACTCACCGGCCCACCTCACCCAGCACATCGTAAAGTTTATGGGCATCGACGTTGCGATTTATGGTCACATCGCGCATGGGAAACGCTGGTTCCAAAACTGCAAAATAGAAGAAAATTGTGGCTGTTAAGTTCGGACTATAAAGTAGTTTTGTAATAAGCTTTTTATTGATTAAGTTCATTGGAAATTGAAATATAAAACGTAGTAGTTTTCATCTTATTCTTAAACTTTGCGTTGCCCTAGACTTATGGCTTTAATAACTTATTTAGGGACATATATTATTAAAATCAAACCCTTTCTTTGTGCATTTTATTCTTCCTTCTTAGATATAAGCAACCTTGCAGTTTTTGTGTACTTTATTCTGCCATTTCATTAGTCCATAATTCCAATGCACTTCCCTTATCAACATATCAGCTGGCTGCCATAGAATGACAAGCCAAAGGTAGATTATATATGTGGTCGGAAATGTTTCGGTCTGATTAAGACTTCAGCTGTGTGATTTGATTAGATTTCCTGTTCCTGGACAGAAATAAAGAAGACCAAGTACTGCTTGGAGCTACATACACTGTGCAACATGGTTGAGAGTGCTCCTACGGCAATGGGGCATTTCAATCATTTCCATTGTCCAGAGACCAGTTCGGAGTGCATTTAATATCGGCTATTATGGGCCCCAATCCTTCTCTCCATCGACTGCTCAACAACAGTTTGTGCTTGTCACATATTTTGCAGGACATATTGCACACAAGTTTTCCTAGTTGTTGTATTCAGAGGAAACCCTTTTCAGGACTTGATTCGTTGCTGCTCTCGTTTGCCGTTGTATGTACGTCTACAAGTTGCCAAACAAATAAAACTGACTTGATTCAATTGAATTTGTGCAACGCAACGATATGAAATGGGCACAACAACAGTGACGAGTGGGAATATTGTGACAAATATGGTTTTACTTGTATGTTTTCCTTTTTTTTTTTTGGCCAATGGGTTTTCCGTGGCCCTCTGCGTGTGGTCACCAAACTGTGCTCGATTTTTCATATTTTTTCCATTACGCACAAGAGCTTCAACTTGACATTCGACCACAATAATCCCTGGAGAATTTGTGGGAGGCATAAAAAGAGTTGCTTTTCAAAAATTTGCAATTGGAATTATTGATAACCTGGCAAAGGTTTATGGTAAAAGTTGAGAAAAGTCAGTCAGTCGGTCTCTGTAATGGCTTAACCCATTGAAGGCTAAAGAAACATCGTTAAATCGTTAACCTACAAATAAAATAGAATAATCCCCAAATTTGTATCACAATATTTTCTTGGCTTTATCCAGCTGTACTTAACGGTGGCATTTAAGGGGTTAAGTTGTTAGCAAGCGCCTATGAATTGATGTCATCTGCGTGGCAGCTGTCCCATTAATATGTAAATGGCGCACATAAGTATGCTACGGAAAACACGATAAATCTTTAAAATCAAAGGCAAGGCAAAGAAGCAAAGGCAAAGACTTTTCCCAAAACGAGAGAGGGGGTGTGGGGCCTAGCTGGAGGAGAAGGCGGTGGTAGTGGCACAAACTTGGCAAATTCAAAGTGAAAGTTGAGCTTCTACAGTGAATAGAAATGGAGGCTGTGAGAGCGTTTTCTTTGCTATTTGTGTGCAGTGAGGCACTTGTACATATATACATACATAAATATATATATATGCAAGCATTTTCTGCGATTGCCGAGACTTGACGCCTCACCCACAACCACGCCCTTCCTCTTGGCCATATCTCGTTTAAACGGTTTTTGGCGCAAATTCATGCAGCGTCTGAGTAAGTGAGTGAGTGAGTGAATGCATGTGTGAGTGCAGTTGAGTGCACTCTGCCAATAATGCGCACAATTTAAGTTTCGGCAAACATGCCCAAACACTTGCATTAGAGAAGAAAATTGAAGAGGGTCTTCTTTCAATTGAATGGAAGTTTTTGGTGAAAAGTTGCCAACTTCTCGGCCCCATAACTCATAATTCAAAAGACACAAAAGTGGAATCGAAAAGGGGCGAACAGATTCCAGATATTTCATCGCTCATAAAACTTCAACATGAACGCAGACAGGCTTACATTATGCACAAACGTTCACTCAAACTCTTCTTGGGACTTAAAAAAATTGTTTGTATATAATATTTGTGATGGAAATTAGAATGAAATTATTGACTTTTCTGGTGATTTTCATTGTTAAGGCAATTAACACAATACATGTTCTTTTCGGACAGTTATGAGTAACAAAATTTATTTTTAAGATCAAATGTAATGGTACATTGCAAGCCCCTCAAGAAATCATATTTCTCACTCCAAAAAATGGTTAAGTTTTTAAAAAATTTATAAGAATTAAGTAAGATTCTCTTTTCTAAAAGAATATATATTGCCATAAAAGACTCATATTTCTTTAAGTGTACTCATATTCATACTCAACATGGATGTGAGGGGGCGGCAGGTAGCTCCCATTCATTTCCTGGTTCGAGCTCATGAATAAATGAATTTATATCGACTCTGCTTGGCATTTGCACTGCACCGCTTATCCAAAGGGAAAATCCAAGGGTTTGGATTGTAAGGGGGCTAAGGGGTCGGGATATGCCCATATGCTCTGGCTAGACGGTGGGCGTTGGGCTGACGACCCCAATGCACAAACCAAATGCAATCGAAATTGGACTTGAGTCGTTTGAAGTGTTTTCGTAAATCAATTTCAGTTCCATTAAGCTGCAAGATGTGCATATAATATACGGTTTTTATTTCTGTGAGAGGAAAAGGGGGGGAACTGCAGTGAAAATATTGATGTACAAGGAATCTGATTTACGTATACGTACTTGCAGTTTTTTACTCAGTTGTTTATCTTTTTTTTTATTATGTTTTTATTGATTTCTTTCTGGTTATTTACTAGTTATGTTCTGGTGATTGGTGGTTACTATTAAAGCTTGCCAATACTTTACATTAAAGACTTTTAACTATCAGAACTATCCGCTTTTTATCCACTTATAATAATCCAACATACATTAGTTATATAATAATCAGTTGGCTGTTAAATGGCGTTCGTCTGAAGTTTGAATTTCTGTGTCAGACATCACTTATTCTGAAGTACTTTTTTCCAACGTCTATGTTATATCCTCTCACCATCTCTTTCACTCTTTGGATACCAGTCTCATTCGTCCTTTCGGGTCAATGTGTGTGTGTGTGGGCTGCGTTCAAAAGTGCAACTCGTTGCAAATTCAATTGAAAAAAACTTTATAAAGTTAATTTATGCACAATATCAATAAAAATGGCTGTGCGGGAGTCGGAGATACTATATTTGCACTTCTCATTCAATAGAGTGCCATTGGAGCAAACTTGATGCAAATGGCGAACGATTTTTTTTGCCAACGATGGCAATTTTTTCTGATATGAAAATCAGCAAATTTTTCTTTGATTTGCCTTTGCTCTTTTCGGTCGTCAAGGATCTGCTAGGATAACCCACCCGCAGCTCATTTTGGCAACTGTTGCCAGGATTGCCTTGACTTTCAGATTAAAAAGTATATATATATATATATATATATATATATATAAAAGCCAAACGAACCAAAAATCTACGACGGAAGCAAGAAATGTTTTTCCCTCCGACTTTTCCGGCCATCGATTTGATGCTGCAATTTGTTGCTGTCATAAAAATTGTGTAATGTGCTTAATGAAATTTTTTTAATAACACAATTTAAGGGCACGTGAGTTTTAGCAGTGGAAAATGTGTTGTACAACAAATGCAAACTGTTGCACATCAAACGATGGATGTCAATGTGCCACACATTACATGGCCACAAAAGGGGCGGCAAAAAAATAAGCACAAGCCAGACGACGGCATTTTAATATATAAACCAAAGTTACGCAAAACACGAGAGAGAGTCTTGCCGGCACTTCCTCATTGTTTATATTCGCTTTTAATAACACTTTTTTACGCGACCAAAGCAATCCTCACAAAGTATGCCACGTATTTAATGGCAAGGCCAGACGGGAAAACGCATATAAGTAATACATTTTATACGTTTTATGCTGGCGGAAAGACAGGAAGTTAGAGCAAAGATCGCACGACTTTATGCTATTTGTTTGCCCAGCTAAAACAGTTGCTAAATTCAAAGCAAAGAAGATTTTAGTCTCACTATTATAAACTTTGAATTTTTGTAATTCTTTGCTTTTGGCTTGCGAGCAAACAACTTGGAATAAAGCTTTAAGTTTAAATTTCTCCTTAAATTTTAAGCAGCTTACAAAATTGTGCTACTGTTTTTTGTTGAGGTATTAAAATTATCACTTTATTTTCTGTATTATTATGGTTATTTTGCATCTCATTAGCATATAAATTAAGTAATAAATCAAACTATCTTCTGTATTGAGTAAAAGGAGCAAAAGAAGGAGCCCTTCATTTACCTTCTCCATATAATGAAAACTTAAATTCAAAATCCCTTTTTGTTTATTTTATCTTTGAACTTGCAGGCAAACGAAATCAGATTTTAGTCGAAATTAAAGTGAAATGAATGTGTTATTTGGCAAAGTTTGATTTTGATTTAGTACGTGTTTCTATAGCAGATTTTCTTTCTATTTTCGACCTGGCTACAAATTTTACATAGTTGATGACGTTGTGCTAACTGATGGCAAAAACTGTTGCAATGTGCGAGAAGCAGTCGTAGTAGTTGTAGATATTTTCCTTGTTATTGTTGCTGCTGATGACGATGCTGCGGGATGTCTGTGCATTTTAATCAGCCTAAGTGCCTGGGAAATACCATGGAAGGAATGAGAATGGAATGGTATGGCAGAACCATGGCTGAAAGTGTGTGGTGGGAGAATTAAAAAATGGCAAAAGTTTGCCTCGACTGTGAGATTGCGGTGCCATTTCAAATTGGTTATTACAGCGACTTTCCACACACACACACTCGTACATTGCCTTCATCAAATGGTCATGCATAAATGCAAAGGAAAATGAGAGGGCTAAGAGTATTCACACTTATTGTTAGCCTGAGTATAATGCCAGGTCTAATCCGGATGGCATATTCTGATGCGCAACTTCAAAGATAGAGATTATGCAACATTTTATGGGTTTTTTCTGTAATACATCAAACTATAAATCGTAT